AAAAAAGGGAGGAAGGGGGGTGTGGGGGGGGGGGAGGGGAGGGAGAATAGTTTAGGCACATATCAGGAAATGTGGTGTTGTTTTTCTTTTCTATTCAGACAAAGTGTGTTTATCGCTTGAAATGGTAAGAATGGGAAAGGATTAATGTGTTTGGTTAGCTGCATCCTTGTTTACATCAGGATTCCTTTACATGCCCATATATTAGAATAGGTCGCATAGTGCATAGACGCTGCAATTTCACAACCCCTTATGGCCTTTTCATCAATATAAAACCTTAGTGAAATCGTTAGTTTTTCTTTCACGTATATTCCTCTAGATATCAGATATGCTGTATAAAAAATTGCAATGTGAAGCTTCTTATTTTTTTTTTAAAGTGGTAGCAGGCTCATACAATGCCTGGGTTTGATATCGATATATATATATATATATATATATTGGATCAATAGTTTACCATGATATGAGATAGCTTTAATCATCTTGTAGAACCCAATAAACATGTGACCTTTCCAGAATTATTTTCTAGGTTTTGATGTAGGATTAATACATCTTTTTCACGCTTCTAAAAAAAAAGGTAGTAACTACAACCTCCTATTATTTCTTTTATTTATATTTAGCTTATGTGGGATTCTTTGCCTCCAGTCACTACTATTCAGATCGACATGAATCTCCCTGGCATTGTGGATTTTCGGACGATCAATTCAATAGGACTTTTTTCACCTAACATGTGGAATTTTGTTGAAAAAGAAACTGAAAGATCTTATTGCAAAAACGCATCTACCACCCTTTCCGATTCGCCTCAACTTCGACGTAGTGAAGCTGTAGGTGATACCTTAGATAAATTCAAAGCTCCTGTTGTAGGGAACGGAAAAATTAGTGACAATATTTTCTTCAATCGAGAGGCTTCAAGCCCTGCAACTACACCAACCTTGTGTCATCAAATAGGCAGTGATAGTACTGATACTGAAGGTGGATACCATTTGAATCCCTCTTTTTCGATGCCATACGCAACCGAAGGGGTTGGATTCCCAGGAGCTTCCCTCTTAACCACCCAACCCTCCACTACATCCCATGGCAAAACTTTAGTAGGGACGTCCCCCACGTTGAGTGCGATCCTGGGGTCTAATAGGCCCACCCACATTGGGGCTCGTGGGCGCCCCCCAGGTGCCCATCCAGCGTTGATCAACAATGCCGCGCCAATCTTAAACCGACGCTTCTCGGGGGCACCCCCTACGTCGGCGTGGGGGGATCATTTAAGGAGGGAGCCTTCCGGTGCTTCGGCTACTCAGCAGCCCTCATCGCGTGCGCTCCCGACTTCTGCGGAAAAGGAGGTGAGTAGGCGATTCGGCGCCGTCGAAGGCCCGAACGCACGAACTGTTGAGGTCGTGCGCGTACCCACCACGACGACGAACGCGAAAACGAGAATGTCAACGCCGCCCGTCGATGGGGTGGGGCATCATTCAGACTCACCGGCGTGTCATCTTTTTCTAGGGGGACCGCCCTCCTCGTCCGTACGATCTCCTTCCCCAGACAAGCAGCAAAACCATGCCAGATTGATCCAAGGAGGGAAGTCGATTGAAAATGGTGGGATTCCGGTTGACGGCGGAAGGACTCACACGGATCAGGGTTCTCCGCAGGGCTCAAGTCCCTCGCCAGCTCCAGGCACTTCGGATTCGTTTTATTTTGACGAAACAGCAGTTACAATGTCTTTTACCATGAATGAGGCTCCGCTCACCATGGGTGACAACTTATCTCTGCGGATCACGCACGCCGAAGTCCAGCAAGTCTTCGAGGCTTTCTGCGCTCGTTATGAGTCCTATCAGCGATTTAAGAGCCAATGCATTGAGGCCTATCTCACTAAGATCGAAAAGGCCGTCGACCAGTATCTTGTGCGGCGTTTTAAACCCAAGAAGCATACCGACAACGTCCTCAGTAAGGCAGGTGACAATATTATAAAAATTGGCGCGAAACTTTTCAGAACCGCTACCAATTCTACAAAATCGAGGTGTCCGAGGGTAGATAACAGTTCATCTTTGTCTACATCCCCTGCGCGCAATGGAACCCCAATGCACACCCCAGGCGGCGTTGACAGGAGTGGAGCTCCCGAAATGCCAGCGCGACCGAATCCGACGTTGTCGGTTCCATCTTTTTCCAGTACGGAAGTTAGCCTGCCGTTGACGTCGCGCACCCTTCCTTTATTATCCTACACTGCCAACGTTATTTTGTCGGAATATTTAGATGCGCGGCCGGATGAGCATACCCTGAACGCGGTCCGGCAAAATTACCCGATTCTTCTCCACGTCCTGAAGAACGTCTTTTCACCTCCCCCTGGGGACGCTGTTGAGGGGACCTCGGAGGATGGGGGTGGCCACGACGTCGAGGAGCACGCGGCCCTCCACGGAAAGTTAATCGCCCCCCTCATCGACTCCATCTGGCGGGAGTATTTTCTCCCCCTCGAGATGCGTCTGGAGGAGCTACTTTTGGTGGTCGAGCAGAACGTCCTGCCGGCCTATCACCAATGCGAGGCCCCGTCGGGGGAGGGGACCCTCGTGAACGACCTCCAGCGCGTCCGCGGGCTCCAGCGCTCCCTCCGCGAGGATTTGGCCTACGTGGGGAGAATCCGAGCAATGGATCGCGTGTTTTCAGCCGACCCCGCGCGGGGGGAGCGGACTTACGGCCTCTCGGATTATGTGCCCGTGTATGGGCTGATTTTGTCCCGCCTGCACCGGTTGGAAATGGAGCATCGCTCGGTGCTGGAGTTGTGGGCCGGGAAGAGGCCCGCCAGCGCGTCCGCTTTGGCAGCCCCTCACCCCGATGGGAGGAAGAACTCTGGGCACCCTCACTGAGGGCTGAATTGTGCGCGACCAGACAGTATCCTGAAAGGGGGGGGGGGTACTTTGAATTTATGGAGGGGGCGATGCGGTGAGTTTGAGAAAAAAAATAGTCGCCCTTACAAAGAACATGCGAAGAGAGTAGTCTTGGGATGTAATTATTCCATGTTATGGTTAGAGATAGTGCCGCGGTTTGAACTTTGACTGCCATATCTCACAATTTTTCTTTACGTTAATGGGTACAACTGTTTTTTTTTACTCTTTAAATGGAGAATATCATTATTATTATTGCTATCACATTGTCTATTTGTTTTTTTCAACTCTTTCAGTTAGTTGCTATTGAGATCGCGTTTTTGCTTATTCGTTACCCATTTATTTATGTTATACACTAGATTACCTTTTTTTTGTTTTTGCACTCTTTCATTATTTTTCTCAGCCAGAAACTATATTTATTTTCGAAAAAATCCTATTGTGACATTCAAGAAGCAAGGAAATGAGAGAGAGAAGAAAAGAGCGATCTGTATGTTTTTCTTAACTTCTTCTTTTTTAGTTAATGTGCGTCGAACCATCATCGGGCGAAGCAGTTGGGCTCTTCCAGACATCCGGCGGGAGGGGCAGCAAGGCTTGGCGCTTAGTCGCCTTCAAGCTTTAGCAAAAATTCCTACGCTGCCGGACTCGACCAAACGCCGTCAAGCTCGTAGCTTTGCTGTTGGCAAACAGACTGCGCCTTTTTCGCGGCTTGGTATAAGGCCTGCACGGGAGTTCGACGCGCAATCGAGAGCTCATTATAAGCGCAAACCAAAATTGCATATGAATCTGAATGCGTTTCGAAAATTCTATAACGACTCCTAAGATGTCAAAGAAACAGGTTAGGGTCGCGTCGCTAGTCTATCTTTCCATATCAGAAGTTTTATTCTATCAAAACGAATGAGTTATGGATTTTATTCTCATCAGTTATTAGCATGACATGATTTTTATCATTTTTGGTGTGTACGCATGTATTTCTGTTCTAAAATAGTTCTTCCAATTTTTTTTTAGTAATTATATCCATTCAACATATCCGAAGTTCCTCAAAGTAACCTTAAAAGAAATATAACCTCAACTTCAGTATGTTTGGTAGGCCCATCTCATCTGTGTATCGTTCTTTGATCACAGGCGCGATCCCAGTATTGCAGCACCAGCGCCGAACTATTGTGGTTTTCAGCCAACAACACCACATCCTGGAAAGTAATCAAAAAGCGCGTGGAAGTCCTAGCAATGTGTGGGTTGAGGACTGGGAAGCGGAGAGAATGGGCATGAAACCGGAGGATGGTGCGATGCCGACCCAGCTTCTGATCGATAAACAACTCGAGCTTTATAACTTTGACCAGCTCATCTCCCGAATTGAGTTAATGGAGGCGCCCAAACACAGTAGCTATTACAGTCGAAAGATGTATGGCGAGAAGCTTCAATTTGAGCTTAACGATCGTTCACAAAAGTGCAACTTCCAGAGCAAGTGGTGGATCACCCGCTCACAGGCCTACAAGGAGAACTTGCAGTTCAAAAACAACGCCCGGGCGAGCATTATTCTCACCAAAGGCCAGGTGAAGCTTTTCCACACCAGCCAACTGGTCGGCGGCGAGGCATTTCAAACGCACCCCGTCAGCGGCAGTACCCGGAAGTTGTACAACAAACGCGGTGATCCCTACAACACCCTCCGTGATCACATCAAAAGCAATGAGTTTAACAGTGGACTCTACTTTACCCGCCGCCAACTCGATTTCTTTAAGCTTGCCGTTCAGTCCAATCAGGTCCCTCTTACGCAGGACATGACCTCTGGCGAGCGCTACCTCATCTACAACGTCGACCAGCTGGAGGATCCGAATCTCGCGTTAAAAACCCTGCAGAGGTCGCCGGTGAGCGTACCGACTTTTTTGCTTTCCGGGGAGCCAATCCAGCACGAGAACACGAAGAAATTGCCCAAATCATTTAGAAGTAATTACTGGCTGACGGGGCGCGACGCGGAGCTCTATCAGTGGCCTATCAAGGAAGCTGAGAAGCGCAAAGGGGTGCCTTTCAACACCGGCGGTGCGGCCTCACTTCAGATCGAGTTTTACAATGTTGAGCAGCTCGCCAACCCGGAGGAGGCGTTCGCGAAGGCAGGGCTGTTTGTTCAGTAGCTGGATGAAAGGTCATACATCATACAGGATTTATTAATGTTGCTTGCTTTTTTTAAGCAACAATGAAAAAGTGAAAAATAAAGATGGGATTGGAATACCCGATCGCTTAACGATATGAATGAAGTAAAGAGCTCAACAAAGTCAATAATAAAATCAGGTAGAAAATTGACTAAGTAATGATGCAACATAGATTTTTTTCCGTTATATTTTTATTTATATTTATCTTTAAAATTGCCATCAATGCGATTTGTGATGTTTTAAAATTCACCTTTTCCCTTCTCAGGGGGCGAATTGGTTGCATTCTTTCTTCCCGTTATTACCTATATGTGTGTGTTTCATTGTTGATTATTGGTGAGGGATGAAGCTCCCAAAAGGAAGGTATCTAGAATATCCTGACCTTTTTCTTTATATATATATATATATATAAAGTACGAATAAAGCCTAGAAAAACATTTGTTCGGAAA